TCGAAGTTTACACATGGAGTGTATTTGTCTACAGTGGCATTCTTTGTGTTTTAACTCGTGCATGTTGCGTGGTAACCTTCCTGGATCCGGCACACGGACACGTAGTCGCATGGGAGGATTGGTGTACACAGTAGTGGGTGACACAGTCACTAAGATGCACATTTGTGACACGATGTTTCACAGAACGTGGATAACTCGTGCATGTTGCGTGGTAACCTTCCTGGATCCGGCACACGGACACGTAGTCGCATGGGAGGATTGGTGTACACAGTAGTGGGTGACACAGTCACTAAGACGCACATTTGTGACACGATGTTTCACAGAACGTAGATCTAAGCGTGGTATTGTTGCAGTATGCACATACACAGTGTTATCAAGTTACCTGCCAGTGACCTGGCCATATGGATGCCCGTATCCTTGTTCCTCGTCGTCGTTTGAGTCGCTTGGCAGGTGAGGGTCGTCGGGGTGGGACATGGTGCCCCACTCAGGCTGAGTTGGAGTCAGTCTGCGGCGATTTACTGCAGCTTGATATCTCCAGAAACGCGCTTCTTGCTCTGCAACGGTAATGGGGTCTATTTGTATGACATGCGCCGTGTGGGTGCGTCATCATGGGTCTGTGGATTGCACATTGGTCTTTGGCTTATTCTGTAGAGGGCACAGAGCTATACTACATGACGTCATCAAGGTTTTTGACCCTAGGGTTTTCGAAGGAGTAAAAAACCCTTAGATAAGTGTCAAAAGGAAGTGACGCGTGTGTCAGACAAACGTTGTCAACCTACAAGGAGACACAGTGATTTCAGGACTCCAAGAGTAGCTAGTTGGAGAATCCGACCTTTCTACTGGATGCAAGAGGATGAGAAATACTACTGGTCTAGACCGTTGGGGAGAAGGATGCAAATACTACAGGATGTGGAATTAGAAGGATTCTGGTTGGACAAGAAATATGCTATGAAGAATCAAAAGGATATCTCAATGGACAAGGCCTGTTTTTAAAGGAATAGTATAAATTGGACTTGTATTGAGAGTGAAGTAGGCCATTGTTCTAAGGTTAACATCTTGTTTACTAAACAATAACATAAAGAGGTTTTTAGGTTTGAGTAGTAGAGCTTACTCCAAACTTTTCCTTGAGTTTTATAGTGAAAGTATCCTGAGCACATTAACTTATATTCCGAGGTTAGGTATTTAATACTATTTAGTTTTTTTAGTAGGGATATAATTTTTTTTTTTAGTAGGCTAAGGTAATGACTTCTTTAGTTTTATTTTTGATTTTTTTTGGGGGAAGGGGGGTTTATTTAAAAATATCAAAACCATAAAAGGACCACCTTTTTGTTTTGGAAAACAAATAGAAAAACCCAAAATTGTATTTCGGAGAATGTTTTTCTTCAAAAAGTAAATATCTTGCCCTACTGCCCTACAACATTTTGTGTATTGACGTATTAAATTATTGGACTGCAGAGTACAAACTCTGCGCTCTTCCCGACTCTCAAGTCTCATTCTGTAGCAAATTAAAGATTTGATTTTTTAGTTTCGCCTTCATTTTGTAATATAATGGAGAACGTTCGTTGGTTGAAATTTAGAGAATCCGTCTACTCTTCAAGTATATGTTTATTGTAGATAATAGATACTATTTTCAATTGAGTTCAAGACTCCAGCAGTCCAGCTCCCGTCTCCAAAGTCCGAAGTCCAAACTCAACTAAAAATAAATACTACACTCAACTACAGTAGAGACTAGAGAGCGTGAGAGAGTCTATTTAGGCGGCCTTAGTCCAAACTCCAAACTCCTGGGTTGGCATCCGACAACGACGACATCACCCTGCCCCAGAATGACGCACGATACGTCGTACATGTCGTTTAGATATATGTCGGCCCGACATCGGTCCCCCAAATAAGGGTTTGGGTGCAGTAGGCTGTATTTCTTGTTTTTTTATATCCATATACTAAGGGGTACAAATCGGGCCGAAAATTTAGAAGCGTTCCAGATTGTCTATATCCGTACTTTTATTTAATCCCAATATGTTTTTGGCACATTTCAAGATTAGGTATTTCCTAAATGACCTGCAAAGGAGCCAAGGTCGTACTACAAGCAGAACACCTTCTATACTCGGGAGTTGAACACTACATAGGAATCCTCCAAAACACGATTATTGCGTGTATATATGCATAATTAGTAAAGTTTCAATTTTGTCAGGTACAGATATTGTCAAAAAAAAATTCGTTTATACATTCTTATAGCCGTAATGCAAGCTACAGCTGCTAAAATCGAGAAAAAGTGTGTTTACGCCAATTGATGTGCCATGCAATCGTTGGCACGTGAATCTCAATTCCCAAACTTTTGGTCAAAACTCACTACATATTCACCACAAGTAATTACAATAAAATTATTATAGTTTGATTATGCTTATATAAGTATAACGAAAGTCTGAAAACATAACGAAGCAACATATTTGAATACGTGTATGGTGCTTTTGAGCAAGTATAAAAAGTCCTCTATACCACAATGATAGGTTCTGAACTTATAATACTTGCATTTGTCATATATGAGAACCCTCAGAAAGTTCAAACTGCTAATATGCGACATGGAAATCCGGGATTTGACATGGTCGAAAAGTGCACAATCCTGTTCATAAATCGATACCTAACTGAATGAACCAGTAGAGCTATCAACTTGGCGCCTTTGCAAAAATATTTTGAAATGTTTCTAGAAAAAGTCTAGAAAACCAAATTAGGATTTTATCCAAAACCAGATATAGTGGATTGGGTTTGCTTCTTAAAAATCAGGCCCCCTTAGTACGTGGATGGGGTGTTTTTTAAAAAGCCCCTAAAATATTTTTCTTTTTGATTTTGGTTTCGTGGTTTGTTTCTAAAAATACAAAGACGAATAACTCAGATAGTGAAAAATCTTCTCATCAATTCGCACTGTTTCACAGTCCTCGCCCGTGTTTCCCCCCCAAGTGGCCCCTGTGTCCTTGGCAGTCCGAGTGCACTTCATCGTGCAGTGTGCAAAGAGCTGCACTGAATACTGGACCTAAAGCAGCGTGATAGCCTTCAATGAACGCACACGGTTGTCTCCTCGAGGATAGGCCAAATTGGGAACTTAGTATACAACCGAAGCCCATGGAGTGTTTAGCTGGTGATAGTGATATACCCGTGGTATCATGAAAGATAGTAGTGACCAACCAATATTGAATGTACCGTGGCTTAAAAAAACAGTGAGAGAGATTGCTTTTATATTCTTTTAATCGTTTGCAAGCGTTGCTTTCCTGGTTAACAGAAGAGATGTGTGACTGTCTTGCGTATAAATATATATCGTGTCTGTCAGATTGTAAGATCTAGGCTCTAGGATATGATACCTTTTTAACATAAGAGACAGTCCCATTTGGATGCCAACATATCAGATACTTCAGCCTGGCTATATATTTTGACTATTGATATACACATATACATCTATATTCATATCTGTGTAACAAAGTCTAATTATTTGTCGTGAGGGGGATTCAACCCCAAATCAGTATACGAAACTCTAGTCTCTTCTTAATATATGCAGAACTCTGGTTATCAACTCACAATTTGATATCCATAGCCGATGTATCACAAGCTTTTCTTCCATAATCGAATTTTAGGAAGTTGCAACCATTTCTCTTTGTCAGGCGAGAATGTTGTCGATTTTTTTTATACCCCGCCTCCACCGATACATATTCCGTATCATAGTTCTTAAGAATCTCCGCGCATCCAAACAACTTGTACGCACGCATGTTTCGCTATTTATTCGCGAAATGCTTCAAACTCATGAAAGTATTTATATAAGGTGTCTGCACACTGAAAGTGTGCATAACAAATAAAAGAACCCCATCATCTGACCCTATTGCAGTCAAAAAAGAACAAATACAAAAAAACAAAACAAAACAAAAGGACTATAATAGTAATATGGAACAAATAATCTGCGCCGGACAAGTAATCACGCAGGGAGTATACTTGATTGTAGCCAGTGTGCACGTCAAATAAAGATTCTCAACCACAAGATATGGTGAGATAGATGTGCGCTCAGTTATCCTAGGGTAATGCGGCAGTGATTCTTCCATGATACAATACTGCAGTGATGCGAAACTGCCACTTCGCTATCTTCCATACCAGTGAGGGCTCAATAATGCAAGCGAGTCTACGTTCGTAGGTCGTGAGGCGTGATATCCATACATTAGGTATTATATGCGCTATGTGTGATGACTTCTTTCCAACATTCTACTACTGCAGACGATGTTCTTATATTAAACGACCCTCATACGCCTGTTTAAACCTAAATGCCTTTATTATTTTTCTTTTACAGATTTTTGCTCGGGAAAACTTCTAATTTACTCCTCCTTACCCACCAGTGGGATCGATGGATCTTGGAAGCGAATGGGCGACTGCATCTCACACAAGGTGTAGCTGCCAAAGTAAATCAGGAAGGTGAAGATTGCCAGCACAAACAGACCGGTAATGATAGGCGCAGAGAAGTACCTGTTTGCGCAGCAGGGAGTAGAACAAGAAAGATTCAGGATGAGAGCAAGATAAATATATATATATATATATTTGTATGTAAACAAATGTGTCTATATATGTATCACTTTGTATAATCATATGTATTGCTAACACGTCCGTGTAAAAATCGGTCCCAGACAATACACCCACACACCTATACACGCCCCTTCTCCCCCCCAAACACAATACCTATTCTGTACAGTAGCCGGGTCAATAGCCTTAGCACCACCTTCAGACGGATCAGCATCCCCCTCTTCAGCCTGTCGTCGATGCTTAACGGTGCTGAGCTTGTGAACAAAGTTGAGATCGAGGTACTCAGAGGGCTCGCTAGCGGTAAGTACAGCGACGTACTTGTCATTGGTGGCCCGCGCGATCTTCTCCATTACATCACCAATGAGCTTATCTGTGTGTGTGTATATGTGTGTGCGTGTGTGTTTTAATCGAGTATGTGTGAGATTTAATCGAGCATGTATGATATTTGAGTGTATGTTTGTGCTGTATTGGTGGACTCCCTAGCCTGCTCAAGTGATTGGTCACATAGAGACTTTTTCGTTTAAAAGGTATGAGTGAGTTTTATGAACCAATTCGTCAAAAGTGCTCTTCGACCGAGTGCGCGAAGCCGCTAAGGTGAATAATGTTTGTTGTGAATATAAAAATATGTATGTGTGTGTAGATACATACATACATATGCACATACTTTCCGGGTGTAAATAATTCAGAAATTACGAATTTTGATATCGAATATTCAGAGATATTAAAAAGGTATTTCACGGTTACCAGAGGAACTATGTTTTGATATCAATAAAGATATGCAAAAAGTACTAGTATCTAAGTGTTTTATTTGATTTGTGGCTTTGTACAATGGCTGGCTTCAATACGTATCTTCATCTGCATCAGATCCACAATACAGGAATGTATGAATGGGTTCGAAGAAACGTACTAAGAAATATATACCAGCATAGACGGAATATGTATATATATATATGTGTGTGTATATATGTATATATATTGACGGGATATATATATACGTATTTATGTACAAAGAAGTCTTGATCGGTTAACTTACCGTTGACTGCGAACTGGTTAGCAGCCCCAGTGGTAGCGGGTGAACTGAGTTTCACGAGGATAGTGTGCACTCCGTCTCCGAGGTCCAGAATATCCAACTCCGCAACGGCTGATGAGTGATGTGGCGCATTGAGAGCGGAGTGAGACCAGTGTGGGTATGTATGCGTGTGTGATTATATATATATATACTGATGGGCTAACGCTACTCGCAATAATCACCCATGTTTGATACAATAAGGAGGTGTTGGCTTATATACCACTATGTGCTCACTTACGGGTTAGAGTTGAGGGCTGTAGGGAAGGTTATGGTTTTAAGGGTTTAGGCCGAACTCTGCGGTCCATGCAGACTCGTCTCTTAAGTCGAGCACTACGCATATACCCCAAGACACCTAATTACGGTATACACAAATACGACTCTTATGTATCAATACAGACCCAAACAGATACATATATCTATACACAGGTCACTGTCTCGTATTGCAGCATACACATATACGACTTATGAATACAGACCCAAACAGATACATATATCTATACACCGGTCACTGTCTCGTATTGCAGTATACACAAATACGACTCTTACGAATACAGACCCAAACAGATACATATATCTATACACAGGTCACTGTCTCGTATTGCAGCATACACATATACGACTCTTATGAATACAGACCCAAACAGATACATATATCTATACAGGCCACTGTCTCGTATTCCAGCATACACATATACGACTCTTATCAATACAGACCCAAACAGATACATATATCTATACACGAGTCACAGTCTCGTACTTCTACCACGCCCCGCTCTCTGATTAGAGCGTACACATCCTTGTGCATACTAACGTACTTGTCAGATACTTTCCCTTGATCGACACACTAGCGTACACACACGGTGGTGTAGGTCATCGGATACACATGTACCGAACATCTCCACGACTACAAACACAAGTACACATGGCTCTTTATCTATAAGGGGCTATTCAGCCACCTCTGACAGTGGTTGAACAGACATGACTATCTTACACACGCACACGTCTACTACACTGTATGGTCCACGGGTATATATATACATAGCCATACATAAACACATCCATACATAACACATACCCACACGCATATTCACACCCACCCACACGTACACTCAATCTCGTGCGTGCGATCGGCCGTCTTTGTCACGGTGTGTCTGACAATGTCTGCTGCATCCAGCACGTTGTCGTACACGTGCGAGTTGGTGTTGTGCAACAGCGACTGCAACAGCGGGCTACTGACCCCATCAGAGCCAGCGTAGCGTGAGAAGTCGAAGTTGCTGAGCTGTGAAGAAGAGATGTGATGTGGGAGAGTACGACGGAGTATCAGACAAATGGAGGTATACATAAGGAATGGGTGGATGGGGGTTGGAGGGCAGAAGACAGATGGAATAAACAAACAGCCACCATGTAATGGGTGTGCAAACACACACAAACCATAACCGTGCAATGGACATGTAAACACACACAAACAACCATCATGCAATGTACACGTAAACACACGCAAACAAACACCATGCAATGTACATGTAAACACACGCAAACAACCACCATGCAATGTACATGTAAACACACACAAACAACCACCAAGCAATGTACAAGTAAACACACACAAACAACCATCATGCAATGTACACGTAAACACACGCAAACAACCATCATGCAATGTACATGTAAACACACACAAACAACCACCATGCAATGTACATGTAAACACAGCAGGGACATGTATACACTACCCACATACAAGCAATGCAATAACATTAGAGCCCGTGTTAGGGGGGGTACCTTGTCTTGCAGAAATACGACTATAGTTTTGTCCTCTTCGGCTTTAGAGGTTGTTATTTGGTTCGCGATCTCAGTCGCCGATGGGGCGAAGCCTGAGCTCACCGCAGGCGCCAGACTAGAACAATAGAATAGAGCCAGGAATAAGTATACATGAGTATCAATGTATGTGGTGAGGGAGCTAGCAGCACGCATAAGTGGTATATATATATATATATAAATACATATATATATGAATGTATATTCAAAGTTGTTTGTATACATTATGTACGAATATGGATATGAATATGTATAAGGGTATGCATCTGTTTATGAAAGGTGTAAGTGTAAGTATATATACCTATATCTGTGTGTGTGTGTTTGTGGATACTAATAAGCAATAAATACAAGATAATATCTATCTATTCATACACCAATCTCTCTGTCTATGTACTTTTTGCAATTTATATTCATATATACACTCATGTTTATATATTTATACATATACATACATATGTACACACACACACACACAAATACATGTATATATATATATAAAGATATGATATTTATATGCAAATATAGTAATAAATACATACATGTGCATATACATATACACACACACACACATATATATATATGAGCGTTACTCAAGGACATAGAGAGAGAGATATATATATTTTATACATATGTACCTTTTAAAAATGCTTTATAAATATTTGTATATATGATATATGTATATGCATATGTATGTATATATATAAAGACATATATAAAGACATACACGACACCCCCCCCTCACACACATGTACTTATATATATATATGTACCTATAAATATCAATATGCATATAAATATCAATATCAATATATATATATATATATATATATATGTATACTATTCTAGATATATATATATACATACATATATATATATATATGGTATGTATATATATATATATATGGTATATATGGTATATATATATATTTATATATATATTATATCCTTGATTTTACATGGAGAAAAGGATATTTCTATCTGCATGAACAATCGTTAACGTATCTAGTTAGTATAACCATAATGCATATAGCCTGCCATACCTCTCTGGTGACCAGACAAACACAGGTACGGATCCTGACGCTTGGACTGCGCATACACTCGCAACAGCGAGGACCAAAGCCTTGAACATACTTTCAAGCTATTTAGATCACTGGAGTTACTATACTTGCGGCAGTGTGAAGCTAATCTCGCACTCGTTCAATAAGGTCTATGTGATCGTGCTTGTAAGTAGAGCTACAACGCGTATACTAATAAGAGTATAGATTGGTTTATAATACGGTTCCAGACAGAGTGGATATGATCCCAGACTGTGTTTATTTTCGAGAGTTGAGAAGTTGAATGTAAAGTGCCTATTTTAGGAACATTGTTGGATCTTTACTGTATCTAAATAAATAACCTTAGAGGCTTAGACCTATTAATTGTCTGTTACTGGCTCAACTGACTACAGGTAGTATCAATTTATGTACTGTACTATGTCGTTAATTAGTAGAATATATCGTAAAGTGTGTATTCTTTCAATATAGGCAGTACAAACAAATAATCAAATACAGACATAACTGTAGTTCGAATCTTTGTTTCAATTCCAATTCTACAATATTATTCCACTCTTCCTTCTAACCGAGTATAAACCGGAACATATATATTTACTACATTCCTTGTTTCAAATTACAATGCAAGTTATAGCCTATCATACCACAAGTGTATAGTTTATGACATTTAATTAGAATCTTTTATTTCCTATTAGCGACACTATGACTAATTTCTAAAATCCAGAAATTTCAAAAAAGCCAAAAATACTAAAAAATATATATAGAAATTGAGTCATAAAAATTTAAATAGAGTAATAAACGGTACACAAAACTAAATATACGCGCGGTTTGTATTTTTTTATAGAGGGATCGGATCAGCAGTTGAACAGCAGGCAGGGGGATATGCTTGCAAGTGGCATCACTCTCACGTATGATCACACACACACACACACACACACGCACACACACACACACACACACATATATACACAAACACAGTCCTGGAAGTACGTAAACATCTATATTTATATATCTATAATTACTATCAAGACTCGCCTTAATACTTCAAGATGTCGGCTGTGGAACTTCAACGCCAACTAGAAAAGCTCCTTCAAAACGATGCGGCGGTATGTAATGTGCTTAAGTGTCAAGAGCCATCGAGACATATCAGTATATATCTATTTCGATTCATATTTACATATGCACCTTAACACATCTATATGCATATATGCATATATATTTATTAACATTTGCCCTTTGGAAAACTACATCGAACAGGGAATGCTGCTTCTATACGATACCGCGATATGTATTTTGATTTCGTGTACTTAAGCCTTGCTGAATATAAAAAAGTGTTTTTATATCTGGATATATATGTGTATGCGCATATATATATTCATACATATATAAGCATTGGCCTTTGCCGAACGGATGTATATAAGCTCCCTCACACACGCGCGTTGTGTGTAAACACAACAACGTGATCTTTTGCAAAAAGTAAAAATCACGCGTGCGAAGTATTATACTTGGTTGGCAACACTATACAATACATACGGGATCGAAAGCCTGTATAGCTGACCCATATGCCAGCAAACTATATTGTGTGCGCATATATATGCATAGTTCTATGAAACTTACATCTCTACCTGTGTTGTGTCTAGAGCCTGGTATAAGCTCGACATCTCAGTTGAATAGTGTCTTGCTCTCGTTTCTAGTGTATCGAACGGCTGATCCATCATTGGTCAGGTCAGATGTATACTTGTATGTCACAATGGCGTGCTTTCTTGTGTAAGTACAAGACATATGTAGACTGACCTATATGATTGGAAGGATGCGGGCTAGGCTTCTTCGACTTCTCTTTGTTTGATAACTCTTCTAGTAAACATTCAGTGTAGATTGATTAATATCGCGTAGTCTATGCCAGCGCTGTGAATAGATAGCCCTTTATAGGTTTTCAACGATACTGTATCAGACAACAATTGTAGATATGGTATCATACGTCGTCGCTCCGGTACGACCTCTACTATATATATGTATATATAAAAATATATATATGTGTGTATTTGTATGTATGTAAGTAGGTATGTATGTATGTATACATTTATATATATATTAATATGTATGTATGTATATATGTGTGCGTGTATGTTGTGATATCCCCGTAGTAGAAGTGGTTAACAACTTGCTACTCAGGGGATATCACAAAACTATAACCTATTAGGCACGAATCCCCTTGTCCCCAGGACCCAGTAGCGCTGCGACAACACGATATCACAGAAAACTTTTGGAAATCGGGGAATCGAACCCATTACACTATATATATATTTATAGTTATATTTATATTTACATATATATATATATATATATATGCACACATTAACACACATGCTTATATTTATATTTACATATATATATATATATATATGCACACATTAACACACATGCACACACACAAATATATATATATGTATGTATATATACATAAACACACACACACACACACAA